TTACAATTGCTAAGATATAATGGTCAAATCTGCAGCCACTTTTTCAAAACTCTTCACACAGTCTGCATTACCAACATGCATCTTTGCCAAACAGTTAATCTCCCCTTCAAAAGTCACTCAAACCCCCAAAACACTTCATACAAGTCTCAAAATAAACTCGTTCAACCACTGGCAACAATTCTCACTCAGAAAGCACACAATCTTACACATAACACACTGACCTTCAAAACACTAACAACAGGAAGCATTACGTAAATATCATGAACTTTTATCTTCGAAATGTGACATATAAATCAGTATTTCATTACAGAGTAGAGTTGTTCTCAGTCACTTTGGTACATTCCTCACATCAGAATTGAAATTCTACTTGTTCAACCTTCGCATCATCTAGTCATTTGTGCACATAGCAATTTCTCAGTCTTTTGAGAAATTGTAAATAGCAAATGCTTTGACACATTTATGCAAATGATTATGTACAATTGTCTGCTGTTTCCTTCATTATCAATTGCTTATGTCACGTTGATCACTATGTATTATACTGGTATATAAAATAGTCTCTTTTTTTTCTGCATCACAATGCCGTGCTCTGTCAACACATTACAGAGCATATAGTAAAAGCGTAACTGTGAATCTTGTCCAAACCCTTGCAATGTATAACTCTGTACTGTAGAAATTGATACCATACAGAAAAGGATGATTCTAGAAATGTACCAAAGTCACTGAGAAAATCTGTAAGAATAACATATTTTCCCTTTATTCACCGTACTATAGTATATGTAACAAGAATTAATCAGAAAAGCTGAAATTTGCTTCAATATCCTTTTTTTTTCTACATCACTGCATTCAGTAATTGTGAAAAAAAGTTCCTGAAATTTCAGTGCTGCAGTACAGTTTTTCCACATTCAAAACGCTACACACATTTCTCTACATACACAGACGTAAACATAAAATGTTCGTAAATGTTCTGCTGTTCCACATATTTCAGTCTGATTACTGCAGAAATGCAGGACATTTGCAGTCATTCTGTTTTGAATGGTGTTTTACAGTTTTTTTTAATTGCTAACCTGTACTGGTCAAAACTGAAGTCACCTTGTCAAAACTCTTCACACAGTCAGCGAAACAGAAGTGTATGTGGACCAAACTGTGAATTATTTTTCATTTCTTTCACATATTCAATGACCACTTTCTCCAAAATACATGAACTCTTTTCCTATTACTACTTCACCACCTGCAAAACACTGTATATCTGCATTTTTATTAATTTTTAAAATGCTAACACACTGTGTCCAAAACTGTTCAAAACACGTTCAAAACAAAATGTTTGCAAATTTCCTGCATATTTTGATATATATAAAAAATCTTTGCAGAACATTTACATCCATTTTATGTTTTAGAGAAATATGTGTAATGTTTTGAATGTGGTTTTACCGTAAAACTACAAACTGAGTGTAAAGCATGAAATGTTTTACAGTCTCAGGTACCAATTTCAATTCTGATCTGAGAAATGTATCAAAGTGCCTGAAACTTTATTCTATAATGAAATACTGATTTATATGAAAATATCAGTCACATTTCAAGGATAAAAGTTCAACAAATGTAAGTAATGCTTCCTGTTGTTAGTGTTTTGTAGGTCAGTATGTTGTGAGTGACAATGTATGCTTTCTGAGTGGGTATTGTTGCCAGTGTTTTGGCTGAATGAGTTTATTTTGAGGCTTATATGAAGTGTTTTGGTGGTTTGAGTGACTTTTGGAGGTAAGATTAACTGTTTGGCCAGGATGCATGTTGGTAATGCAGACTGTGTGAAGAGTCTTGAAAAAGTGGCTTCAGTTTTGACTATTGCATCTTAGCAATTGAAAAAACTGTAACAGTTTTGGTCAAAGTGTGTTAGCATTTGAAAAAATGTGCTGCAGATAATTTTTTTTGCAGGTGGTGAAGTAATAATGAGAAAAGAGTTCATGGATTTTGGAGAAAGTGGTCATTGAATGCATTTTGTGTGAAAGCAATGAAAAATGATTCACAGTTTGGTCCACATATACCTATGTTTTGCTGACTGTGTGAAGAGTTTTGAAAATGTGACTTCAGATTTGACCAACACAGGTTAGCAATTCGAAAAAACTGTAAATGATTTTTAACAACGTGATGTGATCCATTAATCATTCTATGTTGGGTTTATTTCTTCTTTGTCCACTACTGAAAACGGCTCATAGTACTAATTGTGAAAAGATGACCTGCTGTACGCCGTCAAACGATAGACCCTCAGTTTTACTGCTGAAATGTCAACTGACGATTGCAGATCTATAGCTAGATAGCTAATTAAGCTAATGTTAGCTACATGTGCTGAAAATGCTGTCTCTAGCTAACTTTTACATTTTTCCAGCTTACCTTACTCTTTTTAAAAGAAGAATCCTATAAGTAGTATGCATAAGTAGTATACACGATAAAAATCTGTGGCTAATTCTACATGTCCCAGGCAAAAAGTCCTCATCAGTAAGTGATCCATGTATGATTAACAAAAATGTAACACTACTACAGCCCCATGCTCACCAATTCCACTTGTGAGATTGCTTGACAGGACTGCTATGTCTAGTTCAGGTTGCTAAAGCTATAACTGGACAGTCACTGTTGGTGGGAAGCATTTAGCGAACTGTTAATTAGCCTATTTATGAATGTAAATGATTATCCTCTACTTCATCTGCAGTGTCCACATTTTGGAGATCATACAGAGGTCATATAGGTCCAAATTCTCCCAGTGCAACTGCTGTACATCTTTTCTGATCATTTTCATTTTCCACATTTAATTTGTTTAACTGTTCAGTTAGTTTTTTCCATGAGCATATATATATATATATATATAGATTAAGATTCCCCTTAAACAGTCAAATTTAAAGATATCATCTTCATTTAATGAAGCTTGTCTTTGTGATCCTCTTCTGAAAAAAGAAATGTCACTTACTTCTTATTCTCTCTTCACTTTTCTCTGTGGCTTTATCCTGTTACATGCACCTTCGTCCACAGACTATACACCACTCAGCACTGTGTTTTAAAGTCAAACGTGATCATTTGGTCACACTGATCACGTTTGCCTTTAAAACCAAATGAGCATCCCGGTTGAAATAAAAATTGCCTAAAATTACCAGAAAACTCCTGCAATTGGAATGCGGAGAAGAACACCATGCAATTAAAATTCCCAGCAAACTAACACAGGGAGTTGTGCTGCCCACGCTAATGAGGCCTGTATGGACAAAAAAGAAGAGGCAGAAAGACACTGCAGGTGGGATTTCACCAAGGAAACAGCGTCATCCTTTGAACCTCTCTGACTAGGATGTTTGGTGGTCGTTTAAATTCAGTCAAGCAAAGGTTTTTTTAGGAATTGCAGGTGCATCTCTCTAAAGTCTGGGGAATTGAGCTGGCTGCAATTAGTGTCAGCTGTACTGTAAGGTTTCTTTGATCAGCTTTTCACTGTAATCCATGGATAGTGTTTGCTGTGTTTTATGAGTGTGAATTCCTAAAATGAGACAAAAAGACACTCGCTGTGGAAATCAAGGATGCAGAGTGAAGGTTGTAGAGATGCTGATGTATAAGTAATTCTTTCCATTATCTGTGACATTAAGAAAATGGATCTCATTATGTCTCATTAGCGTACACAGGTGCAGATCGTCTCGCTGTGATCGCTTCTTTCATTTCGTGACACAGCTTGAGAAATCGCCTCATGTAAGATGTCTGAAAAGATGAATGCTGGGTTGGAATTGTCTCTCTGTAGCCCCTTCAAAACATATACAAGTACATGTCTGTGATGTGCATTGCCATCTTGTGGATTTAACCTGCAAATGCATAACCTCTTGAGAGTGACAGCAATCATATAGATATTCCTAACAGCCATGTGTCATAAGACAGAAAGTGACAGTGACTGTTGGTTTTATCTTTAAATCTCAAGTGATGTAGTTTCATCTTGTTACTCCCTGACCTGCATGAGTTTCAATTAAACTTTCTTATAATCCACATGGGAGGGTTACAAAGTTGCAAATTCATTAAAAGGATCAAAAAATAAATACGCTGAGATGTTTAAACTTCTCTTTAGATTCTTGCAATTGCATCATTATGAAGATTGAGATCCATCTATGGTGTGTGGTGGGTAAGAACACATTGAACCACATGATGGCAGTACTTGAGTATGTGCCAATATTTGCCAATAAACTGGGCCACTCGTGGTGGGTCACGACAGTGAGTATTTGGACACTGAATATATTTTAAGTAGTATATGCTTTTTTACTTGTGCTTCACTACTCATTTCAGAGAGAAGCATTGTTCTTTTTACTTACATACTTCAATTATATGACAGCTTTGGTTACAAGTTACTTTACAGATTATAATTTTACACTGAAATGTGCATGCCTCTACACTTGTTAAGCTTAAACGAATACAGATTTGTGTAGCAGAACTTTGTTTTTACTTATTTCCTCTCCCCATTAATCATCTGACATTAATCATTACCCCTCAGACTTATTTTGTGACCCTTAGGGATGGCTTAACCCCCTGGTAAAGTACTTTTACATGTATATAAAGTAGTTACAACTAGCTCTACTGAGGCTAACATATCGTGACTTTTAGTCCCTAGTATGGGTCAACTTAAAAAACACTGAATCCTACAATTCCCATAATGCAACCAAGAGCATCTTTCCATTGTGTAGAAGGTACTAAAGTAAAAAAGCAAAAAAGCAAGTGCTATTAACAAGTACTCTGATGCTTTAGGCTTGATGAACTCACATGTGTTCTGACTGGACAGAAAATTCAGTGGTCAGTGTAAAATCTCCTCTCCTCTTAACAGAAAGAACACAGATACAAACAAACCTACACACACTCATACTGTACACCTGTGTGTACATACAGAAGATAAACACGCCTGCCCACAGAAACACCAGCGCACATGCACAGGGAATCACACCAAACCACTGTGTGAATACTGTAACAAAACAAACACATTGCACACTGACACAGACAGCTCATCTTATTGCAGCATCCATTTATTGTTCTCATCACACAAATCTTTACAAAACAGAGGGTTTACTGCAACAGGATCAAAGGAAATGTGTGTTCTCCCTCAGAGTTAGAGATCTGAAGGAGACTGGTGCTTTTTATTCACATGCCAGTCAACTGCGACGTGTTTGTTGTCTGATTTAACTAAAGACTAAAGTAACTACAGTCTTTACAGGAAAAGTAAAGCTGTCAACGGTTGAACCAGAGGAGAACATATTCGGACCTGAAGAGTATCTGGCTCTTTCTGCAGGGTGTTTTTCTTTTAGTGTTTATTCAGTTGTATCTCATTCATGCATTTCTTGTTCAAAAGCAGAGCTCACACAGTGATTCAGATACTGACTCACTGCATCTGTGATGAATTACTGCGATTTTGCACAAATGAGAAGCTAACACTTGTTTTAGTTTGTCACTGGTTTGAAAGTACTAGACCTATTTTTTCCATTTACATTATTTAAGGCATTTTTGCTTCATCGGGACATTAAATAATAGAAAGCAATGAGAAAAAATATGAAACAAAGGGATGTCATGCAGCAAAAGTCATGAGGCGGACTCAGATTCACAACTTTATAGATACATGGTATATGTGCCTTGGCTTTGTGAGCCACCAAAATGTCACAGTTCTTACGATTTGTTTTTATAAACAGTTAAATCAAAGATGTTCACTAAATCTCTACTTCATCTTTCTCACATAACAGAGGTTAACATCCACTGGGTAATATGTAAGGGTAATTCAGCACACCCTTGATGGCTATACTGCACATTTAACCACATGGTTGTGGCTCAGGTAGAAATAATCAAACAACAACAACAAAGAACTTCATTGCTCATAGATTTCTGTGGAGCACCCAAAGTCCCAAAAGATGATGGTTTTCGCAAAAGTTTTTAAAGAAATAGTGGACGTGAATACAATTTTTCTCTTATTTTTTGCCTGATCTTATTAGCGCACAGAGCCAAATGTAAAAGTCAATAAAGCTAACATAACGTAAGCTAACAAAAATACAAAATGGATATTAAACAGCAGTTTGAAATTCTTTTGGTCACTTGGGGTCAGCGGAACAAGCTGTACACAAGACACTGACATATTAAAGTTGCCAATTTAAACTATATTGTGCTAACAAGATTTTATATATATATATATATATATATATAAACAAACTGTATGTTAGCTGCCCAGCATCAGCCAGCAGACAGACAAGGTTAGCTAATATTTGGTGGTAGAGCATTTAGCAGCAAAAAAGCCAGATATTTTTTTCAGAACTTGGTGGAAACAGAAACACAGTTAACACATGAGTGAAAACTGGATTTACATTCAGCGGGTGGCCAGAAACACAGCTCCAAATGAGAGCTAATGTTGCTCCATTTCTACAAATAAGGGGCATTATGCTAACAAGTTAGCCACATCATTATATGGTGAAAATATGTCAATGTTATGTTCACAGCTAGTTCTACTGGCCCCAAGTTATCAACAAAAGAATCACTTCATGCTGCTTTAACATGTTGCATTTTTGCTAGCTTGCCCTATGCTAGCTTTCTTGACCTTTGCATTTGGCAGCATGAGCTAACATAAAGACCACGAACATGTCTGAAGACTCGACAATAAAAGAGGGAAAAACTGTTCAACCATTTATGCTCATATGAGAATTCAAAAGAGAAATTGCTTCAAGTTCATAATCTAATAATGGTCCAGTGGGCACATGTAGTTTGATTCAAAGAGCCATCTGGGTGTTTTCCAGCCGATCCAGTGTTGGTTCAGAGTGGTTCAGCATCTTCATACACACTGTCATCATAATAAATACAAGATTCCCACTTATCTCTACACTGAGTGTTGGTGATACGTGTGTGTAAAAATCACACACTCAATACAAAAAAGAGCTATGTACAATATCATACAAACAGGTTTCAGGGATAGAAAGTGGATTAAGGGGAACAGACATACATAACAACTAGGTTAGGGGATATAAGTGTGATGTGCATGTGTGTGCTTTAAAATATGTCTGAATATTTGTGTGCTCTGTAAAACAGGTCTTTATTCTTGTGTCTGTGTGTGTGTTTGTGTGTTGTCCAGCAGAGGGAAACATTTTACAGCACACTGATGGTAATATAGCCAAGATACCAACGCCACAGGGAAGAGAACTAAACAGAGGTTGTAAATAAAATAAATGTGTTGGGAGAGGAAGAGAAGGGAGAATAAAAAAACGTGGATTTGAGGGAGTGTGCAAATCAAAATCAGCAAAACTGTCACGCCACATGGTGTGCTTATGGTAACCAGACTATATATACACACGTCAATAAATAAATCTATTAATAAAATCTGAGAACGTAATCGCAACAAATACATGACTCCAGCTCAGGGTGAGTGATGCTGTTCCAGTGTGGAATAAAACATAACAAAAAAGTCTGTTGGCATCACAGAAAGAGTTTTGTATGAAGGCTCCTTGTCTCAAAAGAATACAAAAAACAAATGTTTGCTCCTGGATGCGATGCACTTTATTTGGCTCACTGTTGTGCCACCTGCAGTCGGGGAGCTTGGCTTTGTCTTATAAAATATGTTTGTATGTCACATCAGTTTCTGAGACGTTGCAACCATCTGAGAGCAAAAAAAAACATGAAGAAGATAGCCAACAAGATGTTGTTACTTCCAGCCTGTTTGCTTTTGCGTGGTGCTTCTGCCGAGAGATATGAAATGGATTCTTTGATCTCAGTAAACTTCATGGGGAGCTGACTACTCAGACTATAGTGCATGTGTATGTGTGAATGGGATAAGATAAGGAGTGAGGGTGAGACGGAAAGACCAAGTGAGGAAAATGTGTGTTTGTGTGTGGCTTGCTAAAAGGATGTTTTTATGGGTAAATCTCAGCAGCACACGCCTCCTTCAGCGGGTTTCTTTGGTCCAACATGGCAACCTCCTGACAGCAGACGTCAAAGTTGTGTCCTGGGAGTTATACAGGGAGTTCACCACCATGTTTAGCTTTCAGCACATGCCTCCTTCAAACGTGTGAAAACTCATACCGTTGTGGAAAACAAAGCAAAAAAGAAGGGAAAAAAGCTGTGGACATTCTCAGTGGTCAGTTTGATATATTTTTCCTTACAGGGCATACCACTGAAGATGAATGCGAGCTTCACATGACTGAGTTTATATAAAAAAAGTAACAACAAAAGTCTTTAATTATAATGTTCAAAATGAAAAAAAAGACATGTACCTGACTCTGAATGTTCAGTTTTTCACTGTACTGTGTGTCCAGAAAAGAGAAAGTCTTTGAAGAGTTTGCCTATCGGTTCCCCGGGGGTTGAGAGGGCAACAGAGGTGTGTGTGAATGTGCGTGAGCTGTGTTACGGGATGTCTAGACCTGCGTGGAATAAGAGCGGTGCAGCGTTGCGTACCGGCCAGCCGGATGGGCGGCGCAGTGCGGCGAGTGCTCCTCCGACTGGTCTAGACTTCGCTGGAAATGGAGCGAGACGGTATGAGGACATCGGGGGTGGCGGGGAACCGATAGGGCTGATGGTCATGTGATCTCGGTGAACGGAGATCCCCGCGGAGTCTGCAGGGGAAAGAGAGGAGTGAGAAAGAGAGAGGATGGGGCAGAGAGAAGGCGGAGGAGAGAGAAAAGTGAAGAAAAGAATAATCAAGAGCAATGCGAGGGATGAGGGGCGGGAAGGAGGAGAAAACAGATGCATAGAGCCAAAACAGAAATAAGGCAACAGATGACGGGGATAGTGAGGAGAGACAATGACAGGCAGAAAAGATTTAAAGTTGGTTAGAATGGTTGGACGTAGGTGTTGTAAGGTGGGCAGGAGGAGGAGAGTGCAGGATGCTGGAGGAGAGTGAGGGACAAGGGAGATTGAGAGGAGAGGTGGGAGACAGAGGAAAAGAGTCAGTGAGGGTTAGTGACGGTGACAGACCACAGAGGACGCAAGACATTTTCCTAAAATACTTGGACGTGGTCTCGTGCTGCTCCACCCCTGAGAGAATATCTTTAGAAAATGCAGCACTGTTGGAGAGAAGACACAACCTGAGGGGACCTCTGAAATCGCTACAACTTCTGAATTCATAGTTTTTCTCCAGCCAACTGCTTTGCATTATATCCGAATGATAAAAGGCACCTCAAGTGTGTCAGCCAAACTGCTGACTCACCTCAAAGATATAAGTTACCCTCTAAGTCCCCAATAACAAGCAAATGTGTAAAGCTGTAGTTTAGGACTAAAGTAGCACCTCTTTCCAAAGCACACACTAGAATTCGTTCCATCCTCTGGTTGAAATCAGTAGAACAAATCTCTGAGTTCACTGTGTTCTTATCAGCATACATCAAGGCTCGGAGATTCAAAGGATTCACTTGGGTGTGCTTGTTGAGACTTGGGGTGCAAGTGGGGTTTGAAGCATGCATGTTCGAGGATTTGTTCTCTTTGGGAAAAAGGAGGACAACAGATTCAGGTAAGAGACAAGGGGTGCGTATCTCAGCCCCTCTTTTGTGAGCGCAGCCGTGCCTCACACCCACCCCCGCCTCTTACCTGAGGGCCACTTAACTTTTCGAGTGGACTCTCCACACAGGGCAGCGTCACCATTGGCATGCCTAGCACAGACTCGGGGCGTTGGGGTCGTGGTGGAGGAAGACTGTGCAGCATCTGCTGGAAGTTGTTAATCACACAAGTCACCTGGAGATAGAGACCAGGAGAAAGAGTTAGAGAGGAGCAGAGAGAAAGAACTGACCCTGCTAATGTCAAATGCATAGAGCTCTTATATTATCTCAAGAGTTTGGAAGGAGGTGTCTGCTCTTTTAGCCTTTTCAAAACAAAAAGTCCATTCCTTACAAAATATGCAAGCAATGGATTTCATCTGCTGCACCGTTACCTGCAAATGTTATACATATATTCATTATGGATCAACTGGTGAGGATATGCCTGAGATGTGTAGCCTCAGCGTTTTGGCACCATATCATGTATGCAGCCATCGAGTTCATCTATTAGACCCTTTTACAGGTTTCTCATTTTAAAATAGACCAGCTGGACGCATTTAAAAAGTCAGCTGGAGGTGGACTATTCGGCCAATTCAAATACTAGAGCTTCAGCATTAGCATTAGCTTCCACTAGCAAACCACCGCTGATGAAATTTGTTAGGTACACGTGTCATTTCAGCCCATAATTTCACCGTCATCTGCCACTGTTATTATAAACCACACGTGTTATGTGAGAATGGAAAGACTGACTAGAGTAGCAATGGTCAATTGGATCAATCGGCTAATTAGGAAAATGGACAATTATCCACCAATTATCTCTCTTTTCATCCTAAAAGTTTTAAAGGAACAATACAGGCGTTTAGTACTGCATCTGTTAGACATTGCCTGAATGGTAAATGCACATCTTTCAAACTCTGAGCCCAACTTTCATAAAACAGGTTCTCTGTATGTGAAGTCTCAAATAAACCTGATGACAGGGGTTATTTTCCCAGACATTAGCTCCGTCCATAAGACGTTATACAGCTGTCTCTTCTCACCAAAAAAACTGCAATTGCTCCCCCAGTGAAGAATCCCGCCAGGATGTCAGCCCAGTGGTTGCGGTACTCCGCCACCCTGACCACACCTACTAGCATGGCCAGACAGAGCAGGGTGAGGCTGATGGTGGGCTTGGTCAGCCGCGTGCCTTTGGTCTTGAACACTAGCGTCACGTACATCTGCAGAGAGGCGTACAGGAGGGCGAGCACAGTAGGGTACAACAAACACAGGACGCATCACAAGACACACAAGTATGTATGCATCATTACAACCTGACTAGGCTTTTCAGAGACCAGGCAATGAGGTGTAGAAAACAGAATTTCTTCCACTAACTGGCAGGTTAAAGGTTAACAAGGTTGAAAATGATCTCAACAAAGTAGGTTTTCAGCCACTATGAGCTCAGGAGAAACTGCATCGTTGTTTTAAGGTCTGTTCATTGTGGACTCAAATGGAATTTTAGAGAAATTGCATAATATACAGTCAATGCAAAAGTTAGGGTGGATGTGGACATTTTTTTGATCTAGTAGGCAAGAATTAAGGTGAAGAAATGTCAGCATGACATGAAAATATACATACACTGGGTACTTAGTGGTAGGCCTACTTGCAGTGAGACTATGAGAAAAGGAGAGGCTTCTGGAGTGATATAAAATAATGTTTATAGCAAGTTTTGCAATCAGTTTTGAGTCCGATTTGTCACACACAAACAGGAGAAGCACACGAACAGTCAATTCATAGGTTGCTAGCTGGCTACAGCTAACGTCTTGGTACATTGTCTGGCTTTGCGTTCGCCTTAAAAGATGATTTATCACTTCCTGTGCACTGAGAATATTCCCCATTAGTGACCAATCCATGCTACTGGATTAAAGAAAAGTTATGAGCAGGGCTCAATTATTGGATGTACAACACTCTTCTCTGATGCAGCCCCAATCTGTGATCTTTATCGGAGGATTTGTACAAAAGTTTCTTCTTGTCAATTTTCAGTTTAAAGTGAAAATCAAGGCTTTTCGATTACCCACTCACTCCCCTTTGACAAAATCAACTCTTTTGTTTGCTTTAAAAGAAAAGTTTTAAATTGAAATCCAGCATACTCTGACCTACCACTGTGTACACTGCAGAGTAGACGCTGAGCGCTGCGTCCTTGGACGGGAAGGATTTACGTGCAGACATGACAATCAGTGGGTTGCCTGTGCAGGCACGGCGCTCTGCGATGTACTGCATGGTGGACTGGCAGCCCAACGCTGTGTAGTTTGGTCGGCAGGCAGACAGGAAGTGAGGCGTCTGGTTTCCTGTCACCACCTGGCCAGCATTGGCAAAGATGGTGGTGGTGAACAGGCCGAAGGCATAGACACCTGGGAAGGAGACGAGTATTGGGGAGGGGGGTGTTAGGTATCGTGGAAAAGGCGAGCAAGACAGAAAGGATAAAAAAAGTTCAAAGATATGGAGAAAATCCCATTAGATGTTTGAGAGAGAGCCATATTAAAACTCGTAAAAGCACTACAAGATAAAACGGGTGATAATAAGTTGTTTCTCCCTAAAATAGCTCCAACACATTGTTATCAGCTGACGTGTGAAATTGCAACAGGAAGCCTCCACCTCAGCTGATTCAGCTCAAGATGCAAATTTGCAGGCTACTTAATATGCACAAGTGTCTTCCTGCCATGATCCTCAATATGTTACCACAGAGATTAGATCGCAGTTTATCATCTAATTAACAGCCACATGTACAAGCTCTGAAGTGCAGCAGGTCACGTTCTTACAAGTCACGTTCTTTCTTGTGATTTAAATTTGTTGTTGTTCTGTTTCTCCGTCTCCTCGTCAAAAACACACACCCAGACACAAAAAATGCCCTTTCTCAGGCCCTTTCCTTTCTCAGGCCTGCAGAGGAGCTGTGTAATACAAAACAGCATGTTCACCTAGGAAGCGTACTATGCGTCTCAGTAGGGGGTTGAAGTAGCAGCAGTCTGCAGTGACAATGGTCTTCTCCTGGGTTCCCTCTGCCTTGGTGAAGAAGGCACACAGCTCCCCAACGAGAATCTGTCCACAAAAAGAAAACAGAACAAGTGGTTGAAAATGTTCAGTGTCCTTTTAGTGTCTTTTTTTTTTTTTTTCACAGCTGAGTGCAGCAGCAGCGGCATTTTTGACTGGAACTGCTGAGGGAATGTATGAGATGAGCGAACGCATTGACAAGAAGAAGGCACAGAGGTTGGCGTGCGAGGGTCTTGACGGAGAGTCCGGGCCCAGGGGAATGATCATTGCAAACACATGCTCCCTCCTCAAGCAACTAACGGATCTTCAGTCGGCTGTGAGGTATTTCACAGGGTGCAGCTGCCCGCTGTGTTTTACTGAAACATGATAACTGACAATTCCCTGCTTTGTGTCGCAGGGTTTTATTGATCCCGTGAAAATGGATTGTGATCCACTGATAATGAGGAAAAAAGCCGGTGGAAGTGTGGGTATCTATGTAAACGAGACAGGGTGGAAAAACTACACACTTTAAGAGTCATATTGTTCTGAGGATGTTGAGCTTCTGTCGTTCCTGGGGAGTTTGAACGGTTATTCATTACTGCTGTATAGATTTATCTGAAGGCGAACGCCCGGCTGCTGCTAGCATGATATAAGACACTGTGGCTAAGTGAGAAAAGGCCGCTCCTGATGCTGTTAATTTGGACTGGGGGAATTTATATGGCTTTTCCATAACACATGTATTTCTTATACTTTTGCCATTATCTGTCCCACTAGAGGAGGAAGAACACTTGACCTGTGCTTTGGCAGCATAAAGGATGCATAATAGGGGAACATCATGGGACATCTTCATAGAATTTAAATGGCACAGAGCATACACAGTGATAAGACAGGAACGGAAAGGAAATAACCATTGCAGATGATCTTTGCAAATTAATTAAAGACATTCAAAGGCAGGTTTGATACATCATACTGCAATGCTGCGTGGAATTTGATTAAACAACAACTTGGCTGCTGAGGAAGTTTGTCGAACTTCTAAAAGGATTACTATAAGAAAGGCAGCTGGTCCTGATAGATTAACTGGTAGGGTACTAGAGGAGTGTAGGGAAGAGCTTAGTTTTGTTTACTGTCACTTGTTTCAAATGTCAACTGATAAACACCATGTTCCCAGGGCCTGGGAATCTTCACTTATAGTGCCTTTGCATATAGAAGGCAGAGGAGCACAGACGATATGTGCTGCATAGACTTTAATGTCTTTTTATCTGCATTTAAAACTATTAGACCACATATTTTAATGGACAGGCTGTTACAGCTCAAGGTGAACAGTAGAATCATCAGACAGGAGGAGTCGTTTTTAACTGAGAGTGTATCAGTGTAGTGTGTTACGAGTAAATGCTGCAGTGCCCCCCCCCCCCCCCCCCTTTTTTTTTACCAACACTGGGGCCCTCGCAAGCAAGTGCTATCGCTCCAGTTACATTAAAAACTCACTACAGTCTGGACATTTCTGTGATCAAAAAAAAGCAGCCATTGTTGCTGGTTGCTTGCAGTTTTACTGCTCTGAGGTTTTGGTCAGGTGATTGTGTTCGATTCACTCCCTGTGAGTCTGAACAGCGGTGCCACTCCAGACTGATGATCCTTTAATGGACTGCGGCGCGAGACTCATCTGTATGAGAGCTTTCAGCACTCAAAGACACAAGCACAGACTAAAACTTTGCTCCCTCAATGAATAACTATCTATGACAGAGATACACTTAATCCTAAATCATCCTGACAGTTTCCATGCTCTGCTGTGACAACAGTGGGACCCACGTTAACGCCGTGTTCCCCAAACCATCAACCTGGTTCTTATGTCTGCCATATTTGACATAATCTCCCATTCATCCCCAACAGTGACAATGTCTGAAGCACTGCTGTGTGAGGAGAGAAAGCAGGAGGAAACAAACGAACTATAGAGGTAATCAGAGAGAAAAAAAGAGAAGGAAAGGCATTGCACGACTAAGACAAAAGAGATAAAATGATCATGTTTCAGTGAAGTCTCATGCTTCTAGGCATTTCCAAGTGAGTCCAGCTGAGTCAAATTAGTTAATAGCATGCAGGAGCCCAGTCTGAGCAGCACTACTGTGAAGTGCGTGCCCAGCCGACTGCTTTCTTCCATTAGTGAAATACAACCCTACTGGGTGTTCCATGGCAACCCTCTAAACACTAATAGGACCATGAAATCAAAGCTGAGTGGGTTTAATCTGCGGCTTCAAATCAGAGATGTTAGGGGCACCGTCACACTATGGACAAACATTTATGGGGCAATTAAAAGACAGCATGGCGGTTGTTTCCATGGGGACTGTCGGACCGCGGAGGGTTTGAGCATGAGTATACCACAAAATGGGAGATAATGGGAGTGTGCTGTCGCTCATGGACAAGTGCTCTTGAAGCTGTCAAACAGTGGGTGGTTGGCCTTTTTGGAAGCATATAGTAGTACTACTACAGTCTTTTTGTCCAGTAATGGGAGGAGAATTTTAACACAAATGCAATGAATGCTGTTAAACCAATAAGCTAAAAATGTTTCTAAACAACTGAGACTAAACTCATGATTATGAGTTGTGGATGTGATTGGGTTATTCAGTTGCACCTGATTTTGACCATTGTAGCTAATTACCCTGATGTAATGATAAATAGTGATTGATAATCGATGATGAGATTTTACAGTGTAAACTCCCACATTTCACAACAACAGTAAATAGTATCACTATGAATCACAGCTAAAGATTTAAACTCACAACTACATTGCCCTCAAACACTTCTGTAGCCAAACCTATGCCCTTCAGAATAAAAGTAGGAGAGTGCGTGAGAGATTAAGTGAAAGAGTGAGAGTATGAGAACACAAGAGGATGCAAGTTGAAGAGTAAGAAAAGTCATACAGGACAGTATGGGAAAGGTAGAACAGTGATGGGGTTAGAGGTTAATACTGCAGGAATTAATTATTCATGCGTGAATGGCATCCATGTGAGTCATGCAACGAGTTATTTCAACCAACGTCTCTAAATTATCTCTCTCCACTGCAGTGGGACTCGCTCCAGCTCCCTGACTCGGCCAAGGATTCGTAGTTAAATATGACGAGATTGTCGCTGCAGTTTAAGGACGAGCGGATTATAATTCCTTGAAATTAAACTGCTCATCCAGTCTATACACTGCAGTAGTGTGGTGATGTGGCCAAAAACGTGCCGTTCCAGGACCTTTCCAGGATTTCCAGAAATAGCAGGATGAGGACTCAGCTGAGTGTACACAAGGACATATTTTACATGCATAGTCACGTGCATCATTTATGTGCAGAACAAGAGAAAGGAGTGATGGAATGAAACATTAATACACACATGAGACGAGATTAATTCTGTGTGCGTGCACAAACAACATCATGATTACAGAACCCATTTTTGTCCACACAAGGAAGCTGGAGGATTCTGCTCTGTGTGTGTAAGTAATCAGATCTCCATTTGTGTCAGTGGGTATTTGTCAAATGTGCGAGTGCATTCAGACAGGCCCTGTTTATGAATACGTGTCTATTAGAAGACAATAACCAGGGATGTTTTACTCGGAGCGATGAGATGAATGAAGAGCATTATGGAGATGACGGAGGAGCAGTCAATGGGAGTATGGGAATGAAGAGAGCAAGACGAGAACAGGGATAGATGAATATATTTTGTGTTTATATAATTATTTTACATTTAATTTTAACAAACAATTATTAAGTAGATATGTCATTTCAGAAGCTGGCGGAAAAAAGGATATGCTCATTCTGTACATAAAGAATATTATCTCAATGAGCTTTTTTAAAGATAGTGATGAATCAGGAAGATCTAATTGCGGTGTGAAACCAGCTTTACTAGCTTGTTTCCTGTATTTTAAAGACTGTTTGAAGCTGCGAGTTAGGCACAGGACAGGTGTGAATGCAAAGAGACAAACAGCCTATCCTCGTGTGGTAATGATGTCAATAAAGCCGCAAGGACAAATCAAGCATCTAGGAATAAGCCTGAATGATGGCACTGCAGCGGAGCAGCGAGATGCAGATTGCTTCCATTAGTATTCCCTTCTGCAAATAGCAACTAACCGCGTTAAGCCTGTGTTACTGATTAAATAAGGTGGCAAAAACAACAAATAAAAGACAGCGGATGGAAATATAATGTATGCTTGATACTGAGCCATTACATAAATTGGAGCAATGCCGCAAAAAGCTCTGAGGTCTTCTACTCCACTTTTGTTTTTACATCTTTTGATAGCTTAAAATAACCTTGATTATTTCTTCAGTGGTCTTGGTGTACTTTGTAATGTGAGGCTAATAATTCATAATGTTGCAAGACAGCTTGCGGTTTGTTTGAAAATGTACAAAGTGTCATCCGTCCATATCTGTATGTCATATAAGTGTTTATAGCTCAAACAGCCACACTGAAAGAATTTAGCAGAAACTCATTGCCATAAGACATTTAAACTTTCTTTGGCATCTAATGTAATGAAAGCATGCTGCAACTCTTGTATTGTACAGACCAACCAAAAGACCCATTTCTGATTCACACAGCTCTGCAGCCATAAGACCAAATACTTCTGACAAGATTAGGAAGGTTATTCATGTGTGAAGTACAAAGAGATGCCTAGCTGTCACTAGCATCCCATTATCTGTCATCATCTACAGTGACCTCACTGCTCTCTGCAATGCAGTGTACATGTGAGATTTGGGCTAATAGATGATAGGAAAGACACTGCACTTGTCTGAGTACATCAGGATCAACATCACCTTTACTCAAATGTGGTTCTCACCAGGATTTTGACCACGTGGATTGGGTGCTGACTGAAAATACAGACAGAATGCAGACAACAGCATGTACACCGATCCACTGACGTGATGGAGAACGATGGCTGAGAAAAAGAACATGATCTCATTCATGGATGGACGGACACACACACACACACACACAACACATAAATGCATTCGCAAAGACATTCGCAAATAGCACTTAACACAAAGCTCTCCGCATCTACACAAACGGAGGCATGTGCGAAAGCACACCCATTCATGCACACAG